AGCCGTGCACAAGTAGCGCGAGAGGTAAACCCGCTGTAGTGATGGTCGTTTAACGGTTACCGGTCAGAGTCCCGGTGGAGCCGCGGACGCACGCTCACCAGCGGCTCCGCTTCCGGGACCGATAATACCGGATCGATGTGTTTGCTAGCTGTCACTGTGACACCGAGCTAGCGGCTAACAGCTAGCTCCCTGTTAGCTCGTCTGTGTGAGTCAATGGAGGCTGCGGCAGACTAACTCCGTTCCTCCGGCCGAACATCTGCAAACATCTGCAAACATCTGGCGGCTTCCGTCCGCTCCAGCTGCGGCTCGGGGGCGCGTGGCCGTGGAGTTTGTCGCGTCACTGTCTGGTGCTGTTTGAAGCTGATAGCGTTAGCATTGTTGCTACTGTCAGATAGCTTCAGTGGCTCTCGGGAGGGGGCGGGACTCTGCGTGGAGTGACAGCAGAGACCGTCCAATGAGCGTTCAGAATAGGCGTCGTCAGCGGCTTCTCGGCCAATCGGCTTCTTTTCACGGCGGAAGCTAACGGCTGAGAAACGTCCAACAAACCGTGAAAGAGTTTCTTTCATTGATTTACATGAACTGCTGTCCGAGTTTGGATTCATGTTGACTTTAATGTCGTAAAGTAAACCTTTAATCTGTAGTAATTCACTGCTATATGTGTGGACATGTATGGAAAACTGAATTATAAAGTTTGCAACCGTTATGTCAGAGACGTTAGCGACGTCCAGCGTGTATGTCGTCATCACGTAACGTACAGTAGACGTTGCCTCCAAACTTACTGAAACAGCTCGTATGTGGTTTTAATATTGTTACAGGTGGTAAAGTGTCTCTATACTGACACACAACGATGTTTTCATTATTATTTAATTATTATTTTTCTTCATTAAGTTGAAAAACCTTTAACAGGAAGACGAACGTGTAAGGCGATGCGCGCGCTCACAACGTCATCGTGTAACAGCTGTCACAAGTCGCGCGCTTTTTGGGGGAAATTAATCCCGGTCCAAATTTTTTTTTCAAAATAAAAGTTTTGGCATTTACTCTGAAGCATGGATTTGTACAAATAATTAAACATAAAGTCTTGATTTTTACTACAACTACAATTAATTACTATAATATGTATTTCTCGTCTTTTCACTGAACATCTTTCATTTCATCTGTGCTTTAAACATCTACAGACAAACCAATGTGATCAATGAAACTCTGGTTCAGGCTCTAACAAACAAAGTGTGATGTAAATTCCCAATAACTCATTTTTAAAAGTACATTTACTGGATTAATTATTTCTCTGTTTCTTCAGATGAAGACTCCGCCAGAGAGGTCAGGAATCATCTTCGAGGTCGGAGCTCAGTTAGAAGCCCGAGACCGCCACAAGAACTGGTCTGAACCACACACACACACACACACACACACACACACACACACACACATTCAGACACATCTGTTGTGACATCCAGTCCTGTAGAAGTATGATTAAAGTACATGTTTATTGATTTAATTTATTTTAAACTTTAGACTTTCTTTGCGTTAACCTCGTCCTCTCCTTCAGGGGGGAGATAGAAAGTGTGTCTTTCCTAGTCATAGATCTGTAATAAACATGGTGTTTTGGTTAGGGACCTATTCAAATATTGAACATTTAGAGTGTGTAAGGGCTCAGAACATTATGGTTGAAGAATGTGATGGCCTCTCCCCAGGCTCTCCTATGTCTCAGAGAGTTGTTGCAGCCAGTTTTGGGGTGATACCACAGATTTAGGGCAGAATTTAACCATTTTTGACCACTTTGGTGATTGGATGGCGAGCACTGCTGCTCTGGAAACCGCTCAGAAACCCCCTCATTGTCATTATAGCTAAGAAAGCCATACATCCTCTGACTGCCCTCGGTCTGTAGTTTGTGGTTGTACAGTTTCATGAGGCTTTGATTATCGTAGAGGTCACAATAGGTTTTTATACAGCGAGGTCTAGTTTTAAAAAATGGCCTCACTACAGTCTAATAGTGACTTGGGGCACTGACATCATCACAGGAATACAGTCGGGCTCATTGAATCCTGTCGTCGTCCCGTCAGGTACCCGGCCACCATCGAGAAAATCGACTACGACAAAGAGCAGGTCCTGATCCACTACCGTCAGTGGAGCCGCAGACACGACGAATGGTTTCATTGGAGCTCGCCGTACCTGCGGCCGCTGGAGCGAGTCAGCCTGAGGAGGCAGGGCATCAATCCACCGTGTTCTCAGCCGGTACGACCACAGACTGTGTGTGTGGTGTCTTGGGAGGGGTTGAACACGAGTCGTGGTTACATTTAAAGCCCCTACGAGGAACGAACCCAGGCATTATCAATAACTACATAGAAATAACCGATCTGATGATGGTCTTGTTTCTTTAGTGGTCGCCTATATTTCAGGATTTCATCCATTTCTGTGAAGGAAACTAAATTAAATAGTTATTTTAAAGTTTATATTATTATTTAAGATATAAACTTAATAGAAGCCTTCATCCTCCTGATAGAGCTAATAGAACAATAGCTGAGCTTCAGGGACAAGAAAACACTGAATACGACAAAAGAAGATTTTTAAGTTTGTAAGATTGTGAACTAAAAAATAAGAAATACGTGGTTTACATTGACAGAGTCTAAGAATAGCGTGTTGCTGTCTTTGTTCCTCTTCCTCTCTGATTACATTGTTGTCTGTCTGTCTGTCTGTCTGTCTGTCTGTCTGTCTGTCGCAGGTGTTTGTATCAGGTACGAAGGTCCTGGCCTGTTGGACAGACTGTCGTTTCTACCCGGCCAAAATCCTCAGGGTCAACCGGGATGGTGAGGCTCAACTACTGATGTTATGTTACTGTACAGTGTAATCAGTTGATTTCCATACAAAGTAAGTGTGTGTGTGTGTGTGTGTGTGTGTGTGTGTGTGTGTGTGTGTGTGTGTGTGTGTGTGTGTGTCAGACTCCTACACGGTGCGTTTCTATGACGGCGTCGTTCGGACTGTGAAGCCCACCAAAGTCAAACCCTTCCAGGAAGTAAGAAATACTGCGATCCCATTGGTCCTCATCTAACTGGCTTCACCAATCACAACTCCATTGATCTGATCTTTGTTTGTTTGTTTGTTTGTTTGTTTGTTTGTTTGTTTGTGTTGTGACACAGAAGTCCAGGTCAGAGAAGAGTGCGGTGGGAAGCGAGGGATGGGAGGAAGGGGAGAGCGAGGAGGAGGAGGAGGATGATGGTAGAGAGAGAGACGAGGAAGAGGAGAAGAAAGAGGAGGACATGGAGGAGAAGGTGACGTCAGAGGAGAAGGATGGAGCTGAGGAGGAGGAGGGGGAGGAGGAGAGGAAGAGGAAGGCAGAGCCGTCATCCTCCAATCCACCAGCAAAGAAGAAAACAGACGACAGTAAGTTAAATGATGAACGCACACAGAGGAGGTCTG